CTGAGCTGAAAACTTTAGAATGAAATATCCAATTGGAAGATAACGTTGCTTCTCTGGAGTTTAAATTCATGTGGAGAACAAGCAATATTTAAACTGGATATTAAGAAAAAGAGTGGTTTAAGCCTTAATCCTGATATCCACCATTCTAAAGTTTTCAGCTCTAGGAAGCTCCAATTTTCTAGGGTTTCTAACTATAACTAAGATTTTTGCACAAGGTAATTAGCACATTTTTAGATTTTCTTGAATACACATCTAGGTTTTGAAAATAGTGCACAAATTTTTCCAGATTTGAATTCGCTAGGTCAATGACTTTAGCTCGATATTTCATGTTGACTTTAACTCGTAATTAGTCGTTCCACAGCTCGATTTTGATCTCAGATTTTATGCCCCTTTTGAACGAGATTTATTACCACTTTTTCCTATTTTACAGACCACATTTTTTTTTATAAAAGTAGGCTATTTCTCGACAAACTTTTTTACTTATACAAAGTATAATTATCGAAATCTTGTAGATCACCTTTTGTTCAAGCTCAAACTTGGCCAACATTTAAATGAAAAACTCGTTTTTTTTAGAATTTTTGATGTCCATGACTATTATCCAAAGTCGCCATAGTTCCGAGTCCGACATTTAGTCGACTTTAAAAATCGACTTTTTGCAAATTAGTTTTTAACTATTATTCTATACTATGGTTCTATTTTCTGGAGTAACTTGTAATCCTTAATCCCTAGCTTTGTCCTGTGATTTACATTATGTATGCTCACCATAATTGAAATGAACAACTTTGGCCTAAAGTTAATTCAGTACACTCACACAGTATACACAAAACACAGGGTCTACATTCACTACACACACACACACAGTTTACATAAAACACAGGGTATACATTCACTACACACACAGTTTACACAAAACACAGGATCTACATTCACTACACACACAGTACAAAACACAGGATCTACATTCACTACACACACAGTTTACACAAAACACAGGATCTACATTGATTACACACACAGTTTACACAAAACACATGATCTACATTGACCACACACACAGTTTACACAAAACACAGGATCTACATTCACTATACACACACAGTTTACACAAAACACAGGATCTACATTGACTACACACACAGTTTACACAAAACATAGGATCTACATTCACTACACACACAGTTTACACAAAACACAGGATCTACATTCAATTCACACACAGTTTACACAAAACACAGGGTCTACATTCCCTACACACACAGTTTACACAAAACACAGGATCTTCATTCACTACATACACAGTTTACACAAAACACAGGATCTACATTCACTATACACACACAGTTTACACAGTATACTGCGGGGCAACAGTTTTGGGACTCCCCAGCTATATTGCTGGGCAACAATTCTGAAAAGAAATTCAGTACATGAACGGAAAACTCTTAAGTTTTTAAACTGTTCATGAGATGTCACATGAAAAATGAACGGAAAACTTTAAGAGAAAGGATGGATTCTTATGAATTAGTTAATTTTTTTGTTTAAATTACATAAAAGAAATCGCCAAATAATTTTTCATAAAATGTTTGAGTGTCACATTCTGTATTTTTTTTTCAAATTAACCCCAAAACCATTATACAACGTAAGGACTAGCGACATTTGCGAAAAAAAACTTAAGTTATTTTTTTGTAAATTTCCGTAAATTTTTCTAACCATAAACGAACGGATGAAAAACGTATTAATGTGCCCAGCCCTGTGGCCCCAACTCTGTGTCATCCGTGAGATAATTACCCGGGTAGAATCTAAGAGTCTGAAACCTAGTCTTAGACGCCGGGCCGACCTCCTCAGACCCTCTGTTTTTGGAAAAAAATATCAAATTTCACCAAATATATGTAATATGAGCAAAAACCATTAAAATATTTGAGCATTCCTCTCCCCATCCCTTTCTTCAAGCACCCCTCCATATGTCCCAACCCCAGTTTCTGCTGTTTCCCCCCAAGTCTGATAGAGGTCGTTGTTCAAGACTCTCTTCAGTTTTATTATGTATCATATTTCTTCAACATGTGTTATGTCCCAACCCCAGTTTCTGCTGTTTCCCCCC